AGATAAGGACGGTAGTAATGATGAGGAAAGAAGGAGCAAACCACACCAGAGCACCCGCCAGCCAACCACCCACCGAAGGCCCTACATCATATGAAAAACTAAATTCAAGTCCACAACATTTTTGTGGTATTGCATGAACATTTTATTTACTTGTTCAATTCCGGCATGGGAAATTATACAAAGGTCATCAACAAATACAAAATCTGATCTTGCAGTCAAATACACATATTTTTTTAGACAACAAAAATCATACACCTGAACCGTATATAATCTCCAACATGAAATTACAGGGACATCAGAACATTTAGCCATCTTATACGAGTCAAATTAACCATAAATATTTCTAGACAATCCAAAAAAATTCATTATAAAAATAAAATCCAAGATATCCACTAAAAAATATAAATTTCTTAGACTTACAACCGTAAAAAAAAAATTTTTTTTTTAAATTTATGACCATGACAAAAAAATTAGGAGACTTACTTTCCAAATTTGTAGCACATTTTTTAGCACTATGTCTGAGAGGTCAGCAAGACTGCTTTGAGTTAGCAGGAGACAGGCAGACAGAATACATGTAATGGATAGCTTCTGGGTCCAGACCTAAATGGGAGATCACAAATTATCAATATAATCATTTTCAACCAAAAGAAAGAAAAAAAAAAAACATTTACTGGATAACACCCCCCCCCCAAAAGAAAACCAGCAATCCCCCACACAACCAGAAATTCCATTTAAAAACTAGTACATCTGTAGAATCTGCATATTGACAAGAAAATCTGGTGCTGTATTCAACAAACAAATCAACAAACAGTCCAGTGACTACGAAGACCAAGCTGACTGATACTGATATGCGTCTCCACCAAGTGCACAGGAATGTGACAAACAGAAAACTTTGTGGATGTATTTATTAATATTCATGTCTCTCACACACCGCATATGTGCAAAAACATGTTTACCGAACAAACAAAAACCCAACAACCAATCATACACACACACACACAAAATTCTTTTTTTTAAAATAGGGTACCCCAAGACTGATTGATAACAGCCTTTGAAACCACTGGGTAACATTGAAATTAAAGACAAGCCATTATTCTTATAACATCTTAAGAAAAATAAAGGGGTGGGGTGTGTTAATGCCTGTGGAGAGAGAGATATGGGTTTACATGTAGCTATACCACAGAGATTCATCATTATTTTTCAGTGTCAATCCTCAATACTTATAGAAACGATAAGCTGCCGATGTACGTCACAAAATGTCCAAAAATGAATAATATAAACTATTCATGCCAAGAGAGAACCCAAAGGGAAACCCAAGAGTAAATAAACTGTTTCTGGTCAACCCACAGAGAACTCTTTATTCTTGGACTCGGACAGAATATGTAATGAAGACATGTATGTTTCAACCACACACAAAAAAAAAGGGGGGGGGGGGGGGGGGATTGCATGGAACATGCATTGGCATTATAAAAGTTGACAATTAAAACAACAGTCTGAAAGCAGTCCCATTTCCCCGTAAAACAAGTCACGGATCAAAATTGAGTTACTGGCTGTCAAAAGCCTGAGAGAAAAGCACGTACATAATGGATATTCACTTCAGGGAAAAAGCAACACACAAGACAGAAATGACAGAGAAAAAAAAGAACCCATCAATGGCACCCTCCAACAACAGGCTTCATAAAAGAGCGGACCACTGTAGCACACCAACAAAGCTGTGTACACCATGAATGTACATGTCGTGTACATACTTCACAATGTCTTGCAACCTCTGTACCTGAGGTGAGAACAAGTGTAGGCACAAATGCAGGCAGAAACAACAGGGCAACATTTGCAAAAAGAAAAGAAAAAAAAAGATTGTGGTCCAACTGAAAGCACAAGGCATTTATTTATTCTTTTTGGGTTTTTTTGTTTTTTTTATGGAATAGCAGTACACAGATGAGATCAGAGGATAATGAAATTGAACGTCATTCCCTCAAAAAACATTTTAATCTAACTTTCAAATAAAAGAATGAGGCTCTAGCTACAAGACTTGCAGACACCAACCATCTACATAAAACAATTTCTCCTTTGAATTCTGACCCACCTAAATTAAAGATACCAACTGAAGCATTTGTTCTATAAATCAAAATCAAGCGAAGAAGAACAACCCCCAAAAAGTAACTAAAATGGAAAATGTGCCACTCCAGAGACATACATGATCCATATATATGCAGCACAAGTTTTTAGCCTCATTACTCATGCGCAGCGTGAAGTTTTTCTGTCATCTTTGACATAGCCTATGCCATCAGGAGTCAGAGTGGTGGTGTAGCCAGTACTACAACAATACTGTTACATCCTGCCACTCGATTTGGTGCCGTGACCAGGATCTCCGGTGTTGTTACACAGTTTGGCTTAGCTGTGATTTAGAGTAGGAAGAACCAAAATAGTCTCTCAAAGAAGTCAACTCTGAGCCCTGTTGCTGACCGAGCCAACCCCCCAGGGACATCTCCGTCGAGAAACCAGAAAGTCTGACCGTTCTAATCCTGCCTCATTCTGAGCTTTCAAATAGTCAAACTAATCCCCTCCTTTGTATTGTTGCATTGAATCACGGCAGCCCCGAGGCCCCTCAAGACATGATAGCTCAGCTAAGTTCAAATATAGGAAAGGTAAAAAACCTAATGGAAACTCAGGGGGCAGGACAAATAGTTCCACAGTATGAGGGAGACACAAGAAAGTTCAACGAGCGGCGAGCGGACAAAGTCCATTGAGAAGTAGTACGCCATTTTGGGCGGCCTCGAAGAGAAAACCATTGAAGCTGATCGCATATCAAGACTAGCAAGGCCCCCGTTTCGGATTACATTAGGCGGCGATTGACGAGTGGTGTGCATGAAGATGAAACATGGCAGGAGTTGCGACCCAACCTCGCCACTCGTTTCGCAGAAATCACAGACCCCCAGTATGCTTTTACATTACTGAGAAGACTAAAACAGAGACAGGGAGAGACAGTGCAGATGTTTGCGGAGAGATTGATAAATGTGGCGGAGGAAGCCTTTCTTGGGCAAAACATAAATAGCGAGCTAGTAGAAAAGCAGCTGACAGGAGTTTTTAAAGATGGGTTGCTGCATGACTCTTTTAAATGAGGATACTTAAGCGGGCGAGCCCCTCAACACTAGCCAATGCGCCCCTCAACACTAGCCAATGCAATACATTTTATTGCACTGTGGGAGGAGAACCGTAAACAGAAGTTCCACCTCTGTGTAGGGAGAGCCTTCGAGATGCCGGACACAGCCACTAGGGAGTCCACTGCGTATTATGCAAAGGAAGCAAAAAGGCAAATAGAGCCAATGGAAGTTGATCACGCACGCCACTCTAGAGTGTGTAAACACTGGCTGTGCACATCCGAGAGCACAGGTGTGTTCGCGACCGCCGGTCAATGTCGTGCGGCGCAGACCAGGTCGTCAGGTAATTACATGCTATCACTGTGGCGCCCCGGGCCATATCAAACGCTTGTGTCCTCAACCGGCCCGTAACGGACCAGGACGGCGTAACGCCTCTGTGTCTAGGAGGTCAGATAACTACCCCGCCGCCTTCCCAGAAAGAAGGGGAAACACGAGGGTGGCCCATTGAACAATCCAGCAACATATCAGATAAATGTTGCAGGTTCCCCAAATTCCAGTCTTCTAAACTTCTCGGGGCAGAAGCTTAGGGCCTTAGTCGATTCTGGGATGGAAATATGTTTGACAAAGAGGAGGATATTTGATCAGCTCTGTAACAAAGGCTTCCTGAAGAAAAAGAGAGTAAATTTACAGTCAGTGGGTGGAAATTTATTGAGAGTTGACGGATTTGCAGATATTCCTTTCTCCAAAGGAGGTGAAAAAATGACCCACTCTTTCTATGTTGTTGAGGAGAAGAATAGAAATGTGATCTTAGGATGAGACAGGCTCGTGCACAACGGCGTGAGGCTGTATTTTGACATTAAAAAAGAGGAGGATGTTCACATTGCATCATTGTAAGACTCCGACACCATGTAGTGCTTAAACCACACACCACTAATATGGTAGCTGCACAAATAAGGGTACAACCATATTTGAGGCCAGAAAGTGACTTGCAAATACTTCCCTGTGACCGAGGGTACCTAGGGTTGACAGAGGACATAGAGGTAGGAGCTAGACTAGGTTAGGCGAAGGGTAGTGACGATATTCTTGTACACTGCTCGGTAGTCGTCTGTTCGACAAATGTTATAGCCAGTGTTTCAGGGAATAGTAGTTACCCTTCTGTAGACTATAGGTCCTCTATGATCGTAGCTTGTTTTGTAAATGTCATACTATTCATTGTTTTTGATGATTAAATATTTTTTAAAAATATTACAGCGTGAAGTTTTTATGTCATCTTTGACGATCACGAGCCAGAGAGGTGTAGCCAGTACAACAACAATACTGTTACACCAATCCTAAAAAATAGAAATGAATACCAAAATGAAAGCTCTAAAATGCTATGCGTGGTAAACCCTTCTATAAAGACTGTGAATGCTGGGAAATCACCAAAGACTGAAGAAAAAAATGAAAGCAAGATGCCGTTTCTTACGAAGCTGCAGAGTATTTTTTAGGGAAGGAAATGTTGTTTTCAAATCCCTTTAGCTGCGAGCATTTCGCTCTAAAGGGAAGGAAATAATATCAAATGAGATAGTGTTTGAAGAAGCCCACGTGAGCACAATTCGGAAAAGGCAAAGGTAGTTTCAGGTAGTGTCTGGGACACTTGAATAAACAAAGCCACCTAGCTCTCACAAGCAAAATGAAGAGTAAACGAGTCAGGGGTAGACCCAAAGCAACTTACTTGGAGAGCCTAAACAGATGGGCGACAGGGAAAAATTAGAACGGTGTAGCTTCTTTTTGAGAGCACTCGAGCGAGCAAAGGAATGACATATTTGTGCTCTAAGTGAGGTAAAACTCACTAAAACAAATCATGATCGCCAATGTCTGGTCCAGATTTTGCAATCGACACGAAGATGTTAACACCTGAACTAATGACACCAATCGCCATAAATGCAACCGAAGCGCTGTATACTTTCAGTTAACAGCACCAGTACCACCAAACAAGACAAAACAACAGAGAACCCACAGACACGGACCCTTCAACGTTATATAAATTATAATGCCCACCATTATATTACAAAAGATTTACTACTCAAATGTCCACACAATAAAACTTTAGTTGGTTTTTCAAAAGAGTAGCAACTTTTGAGATCTAACGCACATCTTTTCCTATGACATATATATGAAAGTAAACCCAACAGTTTCATACTTCAGATATTCTATTCACGATTAAAACACTCGTGTGCCTCGTTAAGTACTCTTTCATCACCAGCGCATTACACAAAAGTAAACACAACACCAAAAATTTAGAAATTAAACAGTATACAGGAATGATTACACTTGTTTTCCTCAAACTTCAAAGGCTCAGGATTTCAGCTTTTCTTCCAATGCACCAGAGAAGGCCAAAAAAAATATTTAAAAAATAAAAAATAAAACTACAAATTACTGACCTCCAACAAACTCCATCCGAACAGCGTAATTAAAGCATAAACTTATGATGACGAAAATAAAAATCAATTGTTCTCATCTCAGGGCAAAAACATTGCATGAAAATACAAAAATATTTACCTCATAACTTAGAAGAGAAAAATCTGATACATACACGGTAAACACAAATACAGATCACCAGGCACCCAATAAGCCCCGAAGCTCGCACGATACAATAATTCTTTCACAATACTGATTTCACAAATTTCCACACCACTGTACACAGCTGCCCACCTTCCACGCAATTATCAATTCGATGCCGATAGCAACTACTCATTGTAAATAAATAACATTGCACTCAGTGATTCTCATAGTTGATCAGCAAACGCCAAGACCTGCCACCCACTCCAAGCCCAAAAGAAAAGAATTTTTCTCAAAATCCTCCTAGAGCAATACGAGTTTGGAAAAAAAAAAGAGTAAAAAAATCACAAGTCTCCAAAACCCACCAGTAGATTACAATTACATAAACTGACGGTGGCAAAGAGATGTGTACGGCAAATCTAAATGCGCCTTTTCAAGAAATTCACTACAAGTTTTGGAAATTTTGCAAATAAACGCAAACAAATGCGTATTTTCAAGTCACTGACCACAAGTTGTATATGACCTGGCTGAAATAAAATTTCAAGGAGGGGAAAAGAAAAGAAAAGGATTTTAAGTTATTACGACCAGAATTTGGAGAGCTTCGATTTTTATACGAGTACTTGGCAGGTCAAGCAAACCCCACACACACCCTGGATTATGTGACAACCAAGTGCCTTCCATTTCCTTCCTAAACACACTCTCTACCCTGAGGGATATATCTTTATCTCGTCCCGCAGCCCGCAAACGTCCAAACATCAAGGCATACTAAACGACTTAGAGAACAGTGACGCTAGCGCTTGGTCCACATTGCCGTTGGAACGTTTCAGCTCGTCTACCACAGCCTGCCGGCTGAAGCCGTGACTCATCAGCTGGGAGAGGACCGCCTCGGGGAACTGCGACTGCCCCGATGAGGACGAGGCGCCCGAAGAGGAAGATGGACCTGCTGAACTGCCGGACGCCTGGGGCGCTGCTGTAGCGGGGAAAATAAAATAAAGGTTTTTTAAAAAGTTTTAGTAAGTGTTTTATGGCACTTGTAACACAATAAGGTCATATTAGTGCCAAAGATTAGAGATGTTACAAGAGAGTAACAAACACGAAAAAGAAGGAGGGGAAATAAAGACGATAGATGTTTCATAGGAAAGAAGATGCAAACCACACCAGAGTACCCGCCAACCACCCACGAAAATAAAATAAAGTTCCAATCATGTAAACTGCAAAAGTTTAATAATCAGACTCCCAACCTAAGATGAAAATACAAGAAATGGAAGACTAACATATAACCTACAAAATTGTTAAGTGCATATGAACGTCACCAGTGAAATCCATTACAAATTTTCTTCACTATGAACGGAGTTCTGTGGCTGTTACAATAACACAAATACACGGAAACATCATTAAGTTTAAAATAAAACACTGTGAGCCTTTGTGACATGGCGGTTCTCTTGGGCCCATGGACTGTTTTTAATAGCCAAACCCAACAGAAAGTTTTTACAGTGAGGGAAATTTGCAAATATCCTATGAATCACGTCCAAAGCCATTACGTAAAGGGGTCGCTCTAGTAAAAAATATTACTAGCAACTCTTGATTGTGGCTACTTGCTGGGTAAACATTTTCAAGAGCTGGTACACACATATATAAACTTCAGACCTGCAACTCCACTTACAAAATTTAAAACAAAGTTTTCAGGATAACCGCACATCTAAATTAGCTAATTTTACTTTAGGTTCCTCTCTAATTGTTTGCGAAAGAAGCTTGTACATTGAAATCTCGAGACCTCGGTGCTTTCTTGTCTTATTTCCATTTTTTTAAAAAAGTTTTAGTAAGTATTTTACGGCACTTGTAACACAATAAGGTCATATAAGTGCCAAAGATTAGAGGTGCTACTAGAGAGTACCAAACACAAAAAAGGAGGGGAAATAGAGACAACCGACGTTTGACAGGAAATAAGCAAACCACACCAGAGCACCCGTCAACCCCCCACGTTTCCATTTTTAACAACAGTGAAAACAGTTCATAACAGAGAGTTAGCTTAAGAAGAAGTCACATCTTCAACGTTAAAAAACAAACAAACCCGGAGATGCGACAAGAAAGCACTGACGTTCGCAATCTGGTGATCAGAGGAGGAAGAAAATGTTTACCCGTGTCTTGAGCGGAGCGCGACAAGGCTTCCGCCAGATCCCTGTCCTCCTTGGACCCACCACCAGCGCTGGCCACAGAGTTGAGGCGAGCGTGCTCGGGCAGGTCGGCCTCACCGAGGAACGGAGTAACTGTGCCCGTGGTGCCGATCTGAAGCTGGTTCTTGCCCAAATCTATGACACACTGCACAGAAAAATAATAAGTCACATTATTTTCTTTTTCTCACGGGTTTAAAAAAAATTGAACTTTCTTTTTCATGTACGTAATCATATGGTGGCAACTCAATCTCCAATGGCACATGTAAACATTACGAGCAAACATTATTACAGAAAGCAAATCAAACTATGATCAGGTAAAAAAATTTTAAAAAGCACAAACACCATATTTGCTGGTTCTTTATTTAGTGCAGTGAAACGATGAATCAATTAGTTACTAATATACCAGGGAGATGAACAGTAGTGCGAAAATACTAGACCAATACAACTCACTAACAACAGTGAACGTTATAATAAATGTAGTGAACGTTTGCATGGAGAGGAAAAGTAGTGTAAAATAAAATGTGAACCGTGCTGACAAAATGAGTTACTTCTCTTAAACAGACATGTCACGTTCATAGGTGAAGTTTTCACAATTTATAAGTATGAAATGATAAAAGATAGGTTCTAGTTGAAGAACATGGCATCAATAGAAAATCTACAAATTTGACCCTAATGTTGATTTTTGGCCAACATCTCCATTTGTGGATTGCGAGAGGTAACCCAGTTTGTCGGCACGCCTCACAAATAGACAAATCAGACGGATGATAATCATCAGCAAACGAATGACAAGACCTGTTTTAGATTGCTTTTTCTTTTCTTTTCACTTACATCCAGAGGGAGAGTACGAAAACCGAACAATGAATAGCACAATGCAACTCACTTGATGTCTTTTGAGCATGTCCAGACCCAGAAGCATATCCATGGGTTGGTTCTCTAGAATGGAAAACGATGACTGCAAGTATAAAGAACCAATCTGTATCTGACCTGTAAGTGGAAACAAGATGGGCAGCATGTAGTAGTGCAAAAACTTTTCTCGGGATGACTTTAACCCTTCCAGCCCCAGGCACGTATATTTTCAGCAGTGCTAGTACCTCCCACTGTCCCAAGAGCGATTATTCTCAGTTTAGGAGGGTACAGAATTTGCGTATTTTTCGAAATTTGCAAACCTAATTAAACGTTAATTTTCATAATATTTTTTCATTTACTTTTAAAGATTGTTACATGTTATTATCTAAACCTCATTACAAAGATACTACATCACTTTTTAGAATGCATGCCTCTTTTTCTGAAATACTGCTGTATAGGCTGGGACTGGGGTTAGCGAGTGCACAAAAATGGCTGGGGCTGGAAGGGTTAACAAAGCATCTCACGCATACACACTCAAAAACATGCCCTGTACAATCTCTTCTCCAGAAATGGAGGGGCTGGAAAAAATTGAGCAGCATAAAAATATAGCTTCTTAAAGCTCTTACTTAGAATCTGCCTGGCACTTGTACAAAGCATTTTCTCAATACCATTCTTACATATCCCCCCCCCCCTAATATATTAAACAGAAAAGTGACTTGATACTCACACAAATGAACACGTCCTAGAATTTTCTGTGTGCCAACACCTTTAGCAACACCCTCCCACCGCTTGTCCACCAGCCTCATAATGTGACACCTCTCTGCACATGCCTGGCTCATTATCGTCATTTGAGCACCTGAAAACATGAACAAGACAGGGATTGAATAGTTAGTATATAATTTGATGTTTATTTTCTCGGTACTGGTCCAAAGAAAAATATCCTGGAGACATGGGAGGCCGAAACTGACAACAAAGATATGGCATATTGTCCTTACCAGGCATCTAAGTAAAATGATGTGTGGGAATTTTTAGAAGCCTGTACCCACCCAGTAAGTACAGTTTAGTTTTAGTTTTAGTAGAGGTTTTACGGCGCTCGCAACTGCATAAGGTCATATGAGCGCCAGAAGATTAGAGGTGTTACAAGAGAGTAACAAACATAAAAAAGAAGAAGGGGAGATAAAGACGATAGATGTATAATAGGAAAGAAGAAGCAAACCACACCAGAGCACCCGCCAAGTACAGTTTGCCGCCCATGATAAGGCTAACAGTAAGAGTAACAATGAAAGAAAAAAACCGATGCAACCAAACTGCAGTATAATAAAGCTTAAATATGTATCATGTCACGAATTGTAATAAGAATTCCACACTGCAAGAAATGTCACAAACTCAATAGGGCCTACTCTTTTCTGTTTACCAGTCATGTGTGCAATATAAATTCTTTTAACATCAAAGACTTTCTTGACCTATTGACAAAACCATGATGAGGCACACAAACTGCCGATTTCCTTGTTTCACAATCAAAAAGGAAGTAATAGTACTGATAAACATAGGCAATGAAATTACCAAAAAGTGCATGCCTAAAAAATGAATCTATAACACTCATAAGCTGGACAAAACACTCCAAACCACCCACTTGTAGCTGTATTCCCTCCTGACTATCAAAACACTCAGACAAAAGAACAAAACTGAAAAATTAGGAAAAGAGCACAGCACAGACAAACTGAAATCACAGTCCGAACATAAAACAAAACAAGAACTATATATTTACTCATACCCGAATCTACAAACGCCTTCACTGGATGTCCATTCACTTTGCAGTCCACATACAGCATGTGCACCTGACCAAAGCTTTCAGGGGCAAACTCCATGGCAGTTTCCATGTTGCTTTCAATATTCTTCATCCTGGAAGGAGTATTAAAATTATTACAAACTCAAATGAGACTCGGGATACTTTTACCTATTTATAGAAAACAACAATAATTGAGAGAGGTAAATAAAGCAAAGTCTGTACACAGATCTAAATCACTCCTACACCACATTACTCATGATATTAACCAAAACATGTTGCTAAGAGAACACAAGAGTCTGAAAAGAGAAGTCAAGAGACATAAACTCTCTCTAGAAACTTTGGGGGTATACTTGTATCTATTTAATCAATACCTCTACACATCAAAATGTAATTTCTCTTCATTTACTTTACAGAGAGAGAGGCATGCGGATATCAAAATTTTCTCCAAGTATGTGCATATGTTAATCTCTATGCCAGGCAAAATTGCAGAGTGCTCCCAGAAAACCACCCCTAATTTTAAAGCCAGCTCAGCCTCCCAGCTTAACAGCCATCAAACCAGGACTTACCCTGAACACATGTGAAAACTGAATATCAACTCCAGGTCCACTTTCTAACTTGGCCAAAATAAAACCCAGCAACGCTGTTCACTAGAGTTGCAGAAGGTGAATGGGAAAAACCTTCTGCTCTTTTCAGTTGCCAACAATGAGCTTTCGCTTTGAAAATCGACACACAGAATCCAAAAATATAAGGGAAACATTTAAAAAAAAAAAAAAAAAAGCTCTTCATATGTGCTTTTACAACCATAGTTGGAACAGAACATAGAACGAGATGCGGATCAAATAAAGGGGTGGAGGACTACTGCTGCCAGTAGGCCGGTAGAAGTGCAATCTGATCCATAAATGGCAGAATTGCAAAACTACAGACCTATCAGAAACAGGGGGGACACATCACATCACATCACATCCAGCGGAACACTCAAGCTGTCCATAGGGAAGGGAGCACACCGACATGGAACAGCCACCAGTTTCTTGAAATTAATGACAATTCACTAGAGAAGGAAGGGGAGGAGGGTAAACACCAATGTAAACTCAGTCATAACATACAGAGAATGTTAAGACACACAGTTTACCGCAGGGAAAGGAAAACAAAACCAAAGAAAAATATCTTTTTAAAAATGCAAACGAAATGAAAAAAGGCAGAGAAGGAAGGCCATGGAAAGTGCAATATGACAGGACATGCACACACATTTTGCACTAACCATGACTTACCCTCCAAGCCAAGCCATGCATAGTAGTGACACTTTCAAGAGGAATGGTGGGGGAGGGACGGGGTGAGGGGTAAGAGGAGAAACAAAGAACAACAACAAAAATTCAACATCCCAGCCACAATACCCAAAAGCAACCAAAGACAACACTTGCTAAATGCCCTCACATGAAACTGAAGGAAATTTTACGTACAAAATTAAAATTTCAAGGCATACAAATTTATAAGCAAAACAGTCCAAACTGCAAAATAGCTCATCAAACCACATGAATTATACTCCCAATACTTTTTAGAAAGCACCCCCCCCCCCCCCTCAAAATCGATCTCAATTCTGAACTAGAGGAAGACACAGAGACCTTCCACTTTAAACTTTATGCTCCAGGTCCCACAGTTGCGTGTACAGTATTCCTTACAGAAACAAAGAGGTAGCAAGAAATGAAACAACCCTCACAATTCAGTCAAGCCTGCTCTTATTATGATCTGATCATCAACTGTGCAAAAGGCCACTTCGAATTTCCTTCACCGAGTTCTTTAACATCATAATAAAGACACTGCCAAAGACATCCACCTGTCAAAAACGACAGCTATATTCCTCAACAATGGGCAGCCGCCTTAACACAATTTTGACTGTGCTTGCCAAGTGAAAAGCATAAGCAGCCTGACTGCTCTCTCTCTCTTACTGTACTTCCAACGCGACATGCATCCGTAGTGACAGGCCGGGGTAAGTGCAATCTGCTCACATCTCCTTCAGTTTGCATCTACCACGACCCCACACGACAGACAAAAAACACATTTCTCCTGAGTGGGGAATTCATCATAGGCACATTCAGAACAAATAAGGGGGGGAAAACCACACGCTGGGCAGAAAGTAAAAACGCAGGAAGAAGCAACATCCCTTGAAAACCGTGAAATTAAACCCAAAAAAATATATTTAAAATATTTTAAAATTTAATCACAGAGGGAAACAGTTGACAAAACATTGCCCACAGCACAAAACAATAGGCCCTCCAATAGAGTAAACAAAAGAAAAGCTGTGAATAAAAAAAACACACCAAAAAAACAAAACCAAGAACCAATTGGCATTTCCAGTTGTGCGTGCCGCAAACACACCAAAGCATAACTTCAGACCGAAGAAAACTCCACACCAAAAACTTGTCCCAGGTCAGGCAGAATCCACAGAAAGCAGGTAGTATCATGCATAGTGCCTCTTTTCTGAAGGCCGGGAAAAGTGCAATGAGAGTCGGAACACTTATTGCCCAAATCACAGCCTTCAGACATAGAGGCATAAACATACCTGTGCTTCAAAATAAAAAAGATGAACACAAATAATAGCTATATAACTAAAAACTTGACAAAAATAAAGAAACAAAAAAAATAAGTACTTGCACATATGGCCTTTCAAGTGAGGAAAAAAATCGGGGTGACGGACATCCAAAGATAAACTTACAGAAAATGAGCAATTCACGAAGAGTGTAAAAAGTAAAGCCAAGAGCAAAAACAATTACCTGATAGCTTCCTCTATCTGCTGCTGAGCTCTAGGATCAAACGGATCAGCCGTGAGGAGACGTCTCTTCTCGTCCTCATCTCTCTGCTTGGCTGCCCGTTGCTCCTCAAACACTTTTTTGAATTTAGCTGCAAAACATTGGTCAAAAGAAAAGAAAATTACTCGCTTTCATACTAGCTTGAGTCGCTTGTTCATTGACATAAACAAACATTTCTCCCTCATTAACTGCCAACACTGCTGCCAGTTTTGTGTTACTTGTATATATAGTGCATGAATTTTTTGTCTTGAGATTTATGTCCATACGATCATATATTTAAGACTACTTTTTATACTTTTTCACAGAAACAGACCTTATTTTTTTTTCAGCCCTATTTACTGTTTGAGTGATGTTCTCTTATTATTCTGCCCTATGGATATAACTCACGACATAAAGGTCTATTTGTGAATGTTATAATCTTGAACAGTGAACTGATACTGTGTGTTTAAAACATGTTTGTACCCAAAAGGCACACTTCAAAGACAACTGAAATTAAAGAAAACTTTCACCTTTTTGATGTGTGGTAAGACATTAACGTCATGCAAGTTTTATGTCCATAAGATTGACAAATATAGATGAAACGTGTTAAAAATTTGGTTTATGGAAGTATCAGTATCTTAAACAGTATATTGCTTTCTGAAAATACATAAAAAAGATTGGGAAACTATTAATCTTAGCCGTACCAACATCTCCGCTTAACAAAGCTTCAGCAAGAGGGGGGTTCCTTTCCTTCAGCAGTGCGAGTTGACTTGGATCACTGAGCAGCATTTGACGAATAAACGCGGGATCATCTCTTGACGGACTTGGCTGTGCTGCTCCAGGAATTTGTATACTGCTGAAGTCAATGTTGGGAACACCTTTTTGAGCAGACAAGAAAAAAAAACCCAAAAAACATACACACATATTTGAAAGTAATGAAAAGGAAACAGCAATGTGACGAATTACTGAAGATACTTATGACAACCCCCCCCCCATAAATGATGATAAATGTAATCATAATATCGCATAAAGTTTATTTTAAAGAAGCTATACGCCAAGCCTGCATATAATGTAATACCTGGTCTAAAAAATTACTACCTGATCCCTTTCATGCAGTATCAATATTATCAAAACTTTTCAGCAGATCTCCAATATTGGTGAACCCCATAAAGCTGTGCGGAAATAAAAGTGAAAATTTACTGTGTTCAGACTTTGAGCTGCAACATTTTATAAAGACACACCCCCAATCACAAGTGTCAACACAACAAGTTTCACATAAATGTACACAATAGATTACTTGAATGGTAATAAAGTGTAGAGAGAAAAAAAGTGAGCCAATTTGTCTCAGAAAAGGCTGCGGTAAGTTAGGAACCGACACATTTGAAGAAAAATAGGCGATTGTTAAGATTCCCGCGTTTAATTACCATGTGCGTTTTTCATAGCCTCAGGCATGTTTCGCTTTGGTCCCTAACCCTAACCCAGAAAAAAGCACATCGGAATTAAACGCGGGAACCTTAACAATCGCCGAAAATTAAAGTATGCCAAGCCTAAATAGGCTACTTTCTTCACTGTAAGGCACTAAGGCCAAGGCCTACTCATACCAGGTTCTGTGACTATATCATCACTGTGGTCACCATCAAAACCACCTAGTCCTAACAAGTATCCCACTCATGACCGTAATCATCGCCAGAATCCTAAACAAATTATATCTAGATCAAGTACAGTCCACGCCGACTTTAAGTACGGTCATCGGGAGAAAGCATAAAAGCGTGCTTGAGTGCGAAGTAGATATATAATACTCTCTGTATTTTTTTGGGCCACCTCTATTCTCACCCGGGATGAGAATAGTGCAGGCAAGTCTTTTGGCTATTCTCACCCGGTGCGCGTTCACCGTTATAGCCTAGATCTAGGCCAACAAATTTTGCGTTCACCCTAAACCACAAAATTCTACACTGTGATAACAGAAACATTGTAGAATTCTGTGCCGTGAACAAACGTTCCATTACAACTGTAGCCTAAAAAAGCGTACAATTTTGTCTGTGGGCAGTGAAGAGAGAGAAAGAGAGAGAGGAGTAGCGCGAGAACTTCCGGTCAAAACAAAATGGCGACCCGCGTAGTTCGGCTCGATTTGAAAAGTTAAATAGCTTTAATAGCTGTAGCATCTTTGTAGACAACCAAATTAATTTACTTTTGTGTTTTAACATCATTTTTTAACTTTGTTTTGGTCAATTTGATCGTCCACACCGATAGACAGTATTCAGAAAGAGACAGAGAGAGAGAGAGGGGGGAGGAGTAGATCTTGCGAGAACTTCCGGGCAAAACAAAATGGCGACCCGCGTAGTTCGGCTCGATTCGAAAAGTGAAATAGCCATAGCATCTTTGAAGAAAGACGATCAAATTAGCTTACTTTTGTGCTATAACGTAATTTTTTCTTGGCTTTTATCAATTTGATCATCCACACCGATAGACAGTATTCCAAAATGAGGAAAAGCAGGTCTTGTTTCGCACCGGGTGAGAATAGCCTATGCTGGCAATTCTCACCCGGGGTGAGAGGTAGATCGTTTTTCTATTCTCACCCCGGATGACAATAGCCACTTCCATTTTTTTGTGTCCGTGCATAGCTTTGCCCTAGGCGAGATCTATGTCCACGCGCACGGCTGTGTGCATCTCTCTGCCTTCCTCTCCGTGCATGTGTGTGTGTGTTCATCACTTGCGTACTTTGTGTCACTTAACACACTCACTGCTGCCGTGTAGACTGTGTTCAAACTTTGACGGGTCATCATAAAAGTATTGACTGTCTTGTAAATGAAGCGTGCCCGAAGCCGAAGTTACCGTGCTTAAAGGCGTGTATTTATACAGCAAAAATTTGGTAAGAGCTGTTTAGCGTGCTTGAGTCCGAAACGTGCTTTATGCCGGCGTGTTTAAAGCCGGCACGGACTGTAGCTTCATGCCTGAACATGTTCGACCTTGAAACATACTGGGTGCTTACTAAAGTTTTATAGGCCTACATCTCAACAATCATTTTTTAAAAAGGACTGAAATACATGACTGTAAATTGTCTCAAACATGCACTAAAAGCACATTTATACATATCCAAATATCAGGCAAAATCGAATCAGAATACTGAAAATATGATTGTTACAAGATAATAAACTTTCGTAGCCTACCAGGCCTATCTAGATCTAGGCCCTCACCTAGGTCTAGACGTCTAGATCTAGCCTAGATCTATGTCGATGTAACATGAAACGTTGCGAATCAATGACATAATCGCAAGATTTAGATTCTTCTCCTTCGGCTTGACACTTCCAGTTTATCTGCAACAGTTAAAAGAATTCTCTAGAATTCAAAAATTGAAACTGAAAGTCAGTCGTGCAACAGGCTAAATCTAATCTAGATCTGGACCTAATTAGATCTATCTTAATGATAATTATACCTGCTCCAGACTGATTGCTCCTTGGGTTCTGGGCCGACCGTGTTTGGCCTCTTAGATGTTGAATCAAAACCATGTCGCTGTCTTTTATGCCGTACTCTTTCAAAGTGAGCTTGTCATCGTGGAGAGGGCGCCCATTCCAAACAATGGACATTTCCAAAGCAGGAACACCTGTTTCTTCCTGGCATAACGCTTTGAAGTTTTCGAGTTCTAGTTCCTCGCTAACTTCTATAGTGAAAAGCTGATCTGAAAGGGTCGTTATCGTTATTTGCATTCTTATTTTCAATCAAAATTCACACACAAATTCTCAAGAGTCACTTCTGCACCACAAAGGAAAAGGAACGTGTTACAACCGGAAGTGCATAAACTTCTGTTAGAAATGTTAGCTCAAAAACTAAAAGGCTTGGGTACATAACCGAAACAAACTAAAGAATATTTAAGTTCAATATTTTAAAATAAGGTTATGCTTGTAGTTTTCTGAAGAATGCAACAAGTCTTCTCTCTCTCTCTTCTTCCCCACCCCTCCTCTTTTTTATTATATACTATTACTACAAAAAGCCAATTAAAATTATGTATTTGCATGCTTTTTTTATTCGCTCCTGAAAAACAAAATTCAGAGCCACCGGTATGCAAAGAGGTTATAAATAGGCTAGAACTACTTACACTTTGTGGCTATAGCCAAAGATTCTCTTTAACTTACAATAGAGAATATTTTGCTATAGCTAATAAATAAAAGCTTATACTAGCCTATTTATAACCTCTAACCAGTTTAGGAAATCAATACAAAATAACATTTATATTTAATTTAACACTGTAAAAATACTGTACATAAGACTAAATTTGTAGCTGCCTAGACCACATGAAAGAAAATAAACCCGTCAAGTGGATTTTAAAAAATATAAAGACAGATCTAGTAGGCTAAGATACCCGTAAAAGGGCAAAGGGAAAGAAAAAATGTAGATCTAGATTTCTATATATCTAGATCCGTATCCTTTTCTTCGAAGTTTACGGAATTTGATAAAGAATTAATATCTCGTTGAATAATATTATACCCCGAGACTTCAGGAGGGGGGGCTTAGCTCCCGACCCGGATAACATTCGTCAACCGCTCCTCAATGCTCTTGCGGTCTGAATGTCATGTGTATTCAGGTAGGCCTATAGCCTAGGCTACCGTTACACACACGCTGTGCTGTCCCACAAGGGCACATCGATCGGCGTCGGCTTCCGCTAGGCTATTATTGTAACTACGGGTAATACGGGGTGCCCACTACGGATGGGATCGGGCCTAGACGGTCATATGATCGCCTAGGGGTAACTCTATGGATCAGGCCTATAATATACGTTCTTATACTGGATCGCCTCAGAAACAAACGTATAATTTGTTTTCAGTTTCAGACGATCGAGTGGGGTGATCGGCCCGATCCAGCCGTTGTGGGCACTCCGTATTACTCTTCAACATTACTGTGGCTGCAGGAAATTACCGAAGACTCGAAGAGTATTTGTTTTGTTTGTTTTTGTAAAGTGTTTTACGGCGCTCGCAACTGCATAAGGTCATACGAGCGCGCGGGACACACCTAATATTTTCAGTTGGTAGGAAATTTTGAATTTTGCCCGGGTGGCGGCCGAAGCCTACTCTTATCGATTTTAGACCACCAAGGGATCTTTAACGTGCGCAACTTGCACACGGGCCCTCCGATATTTTTCGCCCTTGTCCGAGAAGGCTAGGTGTAGATCTTTCCTACCAGAAGATCAGGGGTGTGGCTGAAAGACAGCAGTAAGAAGAAGCGAAGGAGTAACAGTAGAAAGGCTGCAGAAAGAATCAGGAAGGGGCAAAGGAGGTGAGGGGGTGGAGAAAGAGGAGACGAAAGCAGACCACAGGACCTTGCTAGAGAGCAGGAAATGAGGTGAAAAGAGATAAATTTAGAGAAGAAAATTTTTCGGTCGCTACCCGGATTCGAACCCGGGACCTTTGGAATGAGAGGCCAACACCTTAACCTGTAGGCCACGAGAGCCCCCTCGAAGAGTACGGAGGAAGGCCTGGACCGTGATTTCCTCTTTGCCGACGACTTATGCGCACTAAATGTCAGTACACAACCAGACATGCAGAAAAACATTGGCCTATATAGTTTCTAAAGCCTGCGACGATTTCGGTCTCACTATCTCCACCACGGAGACCTGGGTACTGTACCAGACAATCTCAACAGATTGATTATTTTACCAGAGCCCCAGTTTACCGTCAACAGTCAGAGACTGGCAGTGGCAGATAAGTTTGTCTACATTGGTAACTCCCACTAAATATCACGGTCGGTGAATATCGACGAGGAAGTGGCCTGCAGAAGCGCCAGGCCAGACCACAGAATTCTACACAAGTTTTGCTCCTAAAAATTACGTAGGCCATATGCGTATGCAAAATGTGTGTGGGAAGCTAGAAGTGCTGTGAACAATCCCACCCGTGTTACGGATTTTTTCACAGTTCTGTATATCTTATATAAACTCTATATGATATGTCTGCTTTATCTGTTGTTGCACCCAAAAACACAACAATTTAAAACCTTAATTCCAATCTCCAGGTTGCACAGTGGATTCTGAAACTCAAAATTACAAACTGGACAATAAATGTTCCACTTTTCACTCGTTTGTTAAAGCCGCTCTTGCTTTAAAAGCTATAGGGTTGCTTCTGAAAACGATAAATCTTGCCTTCAAGACGCCATTGTTTTCGGTCTTCAATTCCTCACAGGTCACGTGGTACAGTGCCCGTTCTATACGTGTAGAATTCTGTGGGCCAGACCAGCCCAGACCCACTACATGTACAGCTTTTGGAAGACGGAAGGACAAAGTCTGGGAGCGGAGTAGAGACTTGACACCAAGCTCAAAGTGTATAGAGCAATAGGGCTTAGATCTATTTCTTCATCCGTGCTCAACACCTGGGAGATGGGGACAGTCTACGTTTGTTTTAGTAAGGTTTTACGAAGCTCGCAACTGCATAAGGTCAAGGTCATGTGAGCGCCAATGAGTGGATGTCAACATATCGAAGTCCTTACAGGGAATCAGGCTTACTCTGTTTACCTCTCAAACCTCAACAGCACAAAGTCTGCTTCGACAATCAAGGCACCTCGGAAAGTGCAGTTCACAAGAGAGTGACAAACATACAAAAGAAGTAGAGAAAAATGATGATCGTAAGGATGATGGGGAAAAAAAGCAGCAGTTCCCCCTATGTTGTTCCGGCACAGTATAAGCATATGACATTGATAAATCAGCCCATTTACAATTCTATTGTGCATGAGGCACAAAAACTTTTTTAATACCCCC